TCTTGCCACAATATGGACTTGGTCTTTTACCAAATAGGGCTATCTTCTGTATACACCCCCTACCTTATCACAACACAACTGATTGGCTCAAACGCATTAAGAAGGAAAGAAATTCCACAAATTAACTTTTAAGAAGGCACACCTGTTAATTGAAATGCATTCCAGGTGACTACCTCATGAAGCTGGTTGAGATAATGCCAAGAGTGTGCAAAGCTGTCCTCAAGGCAAAGGGTGGCTATTTGAAGAATCTCAAATATAAAATATATTTTGATTTGTTTAACACTTTTTTGTTTACTATATAATTCCATATGTATTATTTCATCGTTTTGATGTCTTCACTATTATTCTACAATGTAAAAAATTGAAAAAATTAAGAAAAACCCTTGAATGAGTAGGTGTGTCCAAACTTTTGACTGGTAGTGTATATCCACCTCACATTCAAATCAAACTGATGAGACAGCAGCCAAGAAAAGACTGAGTCCCAAATGAACAGTAAAATGGACCCTGCATGGGTCAATGATAGCAATATAATAGTGAGCTAAATCTGGATCCTGTGACAAAGGGTATTTTGCCTTATCAGATGATTTCTCCCCTATCTGATCCCCTCATTAGTCCCTGAGGCCATAGGCTTCGTTCCAAATATAACCCTATTCCCTATGTAGTGCACTTCTTTTCACCATAGCTCTCATCAAAAGTAGTGCACTACATAGGGAATAGGGTGCCATTTGAAACGTAGCCCTAGTCTTGGCAGGGCGGTTCACCGAAAGACAGCCCCACTGGCAGCTTGGCCTTTGTTTGAGCTGGGTGTGAAACGATGACAGTTCCATGGCTGAGATTCACCTCCAGCACCATGTTCTTATCACGGCTATATGACCTCATGATGTGTCCAACCATAGAAATATAATTAGTTATATTTCAATATGTCCAAATGTCTTCCTCTGCTAGAAATTGTGTTGTGTGATTTAACTAGGTTAGATATCTGAGATCAAACAAGAGGTTGTTCTTGGCAGTAGCAAAAATGGCTTCTTCCAAGGTAGAATTTGTGCAATTTGCTCCATGTGTGAAGGCTTGCGTGTGGATGTGTGTGTCTACAATACTATACACCAGTATGCGCTGTACCTTCAAAATGGCGTTCCACCTCAAGTCCCACCATAACTGTGTAATGCATCACTGTCACTCAGCCTGTAATTACAGTGATATTACTATGCAATTACAGAAACTGCTCCTCTCCTCCATCATTCCTGGCTTATTACCTGTCAGAGGAAAATGGACACATGCACGCACACACAATAAGCCATTACATTTTTTTGTTAACCAAATTCAACACTCTCTCATTGACCTCCATACAAAAACTCCTCGCTTGGTGAGAAAAAAAAAACACAAAAAACGCCACCTGCTGGAGAAGACAGATTTTGGGCCCAGTTATCCCTTTTGCGTCACCTCTTCCTCTCTTCTTAGATCTACTCTCCCCACAGAGAGGACCCTCTCTCTCTCTCCCGTTATCTCTCCTCTTTCTCATCTCTCTCCTCTCTCTCTTTCTCTCTCTCTCTCTCTCTCTCTCCTCTCTCTCTCTCTCTCTCTCTCTCTCTCTTCTCTCTCTCTCTCTTCTCTCTCTCTCTCTCTCTCTCTCTCTCTCTCTCTCTCTCTCTCTCTCTCTCTCTCTCCTCTCTCTCTCTCTCTCATCTCTCTCTCTCTCTCTCTCTCTCTCTCTCTCTCTCTCTCTCTCTCTCTCTCTCTCAGTGCTCTGCTGCTGGCTGGGGGGGGTAGCCATTTTAGAGCTTCTTCTCACACATACATGTCCCTTGTTATCTCTATCTCTCTCTGTAAATCTCTCTCTCACTTTCTGTCTCTCTCACACTTGCTGTCTCTCTCTCTGTGTAACTCTCTCTCTCTTTCCCTCTGTGTTACTACTCTCAATCACACACACACACACATAAACACTCACACATGGTTGTCTATAGCTACCATAAATCTTGTGTGAAACAACAGCGGGTTCAAATTACAGCATAACCATATAATCCACTCATGACTGCTGCTATTTTGGTCATGTTTAGGATTATTTTGAGTTGTGTGTGATCAACTATGATGAATGTTACACAGTTGAAATCCCAACGTAAGATAATTTATTACTGTACACACACACACAAACACACTTATTTTGTGCCTTTGATTTGCGCATGATCCACTATGATCAAATCAAATCAAATCAAATTGTATTTGCCACATGTGCCGAATACAACAGGTGTAGACCTTACAGTGAAATGCTTACTTACAAGCCCTTAACCAACAATGCAGTTTTTAGAAAAGAAAAAAAAGTATGTAAAAAATAGAGAAGTAAAAAATAAAAATAGCAAATAATTAAAGAGCAGCAGTAAAATAAAATAACAGTAGGGAGGCTATATACAGGGGGTACTGGTACAGAGTCAATGTGCGGGGGCACCGGTTAGTCGAGGTAATTGAGGTAATATGTGTGTGTGGGTAGAGTTAAAGTGACTATGCATAGACAATCAACAGAGTAGCAGCAGTGTAAAAGAGGGGGTGGGGGGGCAATGCAAATAGTCAGGGTAGACATTAGCTGTTCAGGAGTCTTATGGCTTGGGGTAGAAGTTGTTAAGAAGCCTTTTGGACCTAGACTAGGCGCTCCGGTACCGCTTGCCGTCCGGTAGCAGAGAGAACACTCTATGACTAGGGTGGCTGGAGTCTGACAATATTTAGGGGCTGATATAGAGGTCCTGGATGGCAGGAAGCTTGGCCCCAGTGATGTACTGGGCCGTACGCACTACCCTCTGTGGTGCCTTGCGGTCGGAGGCCAAGCAGTTGCCATACCAGGCGGTGATGCAACCACTCAGGATGCTCTCGATGGTGCCAGCTGTATAACTTTTTGAGGATCTGAGGACCCATGCCAAATCTTTTCAGTCTCCTGAGGGAGAGGTTGTTATCCTGGCACCACACTGCCAGGTCTCTGACCTCCTCCCTATAGGCTGTCTCATCGTTGTCGGTGATCAGGCCTACCACTGTTGTGTCGTCGGCAAACTTAATGATGGTGTTGGAGTCGTGCCTGGCCATGCAGTCATGGGTGAACAGGGAGTACAGGAGGGGACTGAGCACGCACCCCTGAGGGGCCCCCGTGTTGTGGATCAGCGTGGCAGATGTGTTGTTACCTACCCTGATGCATAGGAATGGCATACAGTTAAAATCCCAACTTCAATGGGCAAAATAAACTGTGACAGGTTCATCGAACGGATGATCAAATTTTATACGAATTCAAGCCCTGTTACTGTGAAGTGCCGCAATAGATACTAAGCAAATGTCTCAAACACCGACAACCTCCTCCCTCCTTTGACAGTATGATAATTTATCACTGTACACACACACACACTCATACCGACACCCACACCTACCAGCTCTCATAGTCTCACGTCAGAATTAGACGTTCATCCATGTTTCTCAAACATCAAATTTCGAAGTTGTTCCAAATGTCAAATTTCAAAGTGTTTAAGGTTAGGTTCAGGCATTAACTCCGAATGGTTAAGGTAAGGGTTAAGGATTGGGATTGGCTTAAAACAAAAATATCAAAGACAACTTCTAATCACTGTATTTGAACATCCAACCTTTGGAATCAGAGGCAGATGCTTACACCCATCCACCATTCCCGTTTACTATTCCCTAGCAAAACCAAAACCTACTTGAAGTGGCGCAGTGGTCTAAGGCACTGCATCGCAGTGCTAGCTGTGCCACTAGAGATCCTGGTTCGAGTCCAGGCTCTGTCGCAGCCGGCCGCGACCGGGAGACCCATGGGCGGCGCACAATTGGTCCAGCGTCGTCCAAGGTAGGGGAGGGTTTGGCCGGCAGGGATGTGGGTTCGTTTCCCACGGTGTATGAAAAAAATACACAAAAAAAATACAAAAAAAACATGTATGCATTCACTAACTGTAAGTCGCTCTGGATAAAAGCGTCTGCTAAATGACTAAAATGTAAAATGTAAGGTAACAGCGCTCACTGTTGCCCCTAGTGGCCGGTTTCCACATCATCTCCGTTGAATATTGACTTGTATCACGGGTGACCTGGCTGCCCATACACACACACACACCACAGTGTAGTTCTGTCACATGAGATGTGTTACAATGACATGACTTAACTCAACATACTCAGTCCAGAATGACTGGTAGTCAGAGGTAAAGCCCTTGACATCCTCTGCAGAAACGTACTAACCTCAACCCAGATGCACAGAGTCAATTAGAGATTTGGGCTCATATTCATAATGCGTCTCAGAGTAGGAGTACTGATCTAGGATCCATTTTCCCTTTTACATCATAATGAATAAGATTGTATGGACAGGTGGGACTTGAGCTTGCACAGTTGCACCAGGTGGTGATATGGGTTTAAGATGTATTCTTGCAAAATGAGAATGTTACTAATCATAGGGAGCTAGCTATGGGTGGAGATTATGTGAAATGTGCTGCCTTTAGTCAAATATTTTGTCAATGCAGAATATATTTTTTGGGGGGTGCTGATGATTGAGTTACTTTCTTTCTCACTCCCCTCAGAGATACAAAGCCTGATCTTTTAACAGACTGTTAGAATGTTGTGTGAAGATTAGATAGTAGTAGGCCTACACACTCTACTATAAGCAATAGGAAACAGAAAACTGTCAGGGACATGGAGGCATTCTTAATGCATTCTTATTGGGAACAGAAGACGGCTTTGCATAGATCAAAATATTCCTCTTAAAATTGAAGTGCCATTATAACAATACATAATACTGCAATTGCATAAGAATTGAGTAGCCTACTGCAGAAGCAAGGATCTATCAGAAGCAAAGCATCAAGTCAAGTGCTTAAAGTGATTATTCCGCAAAAACCCGTATGACATTGTTATAAGGGCCTATTGTTATATGTTAAACACATTTATTTATTTTTGCGACAGATAGCGTAAGATTAGTATATCAAAATTAATGGTAGAACCTTGTTTGTGCATTATGTTCCTTCCTTCCAATCCAGCCCTCTCCCTCTGCTGTGCGCGAGCGGGAGGAGGGCGCACGGGTGTCATTCGCTCCTGCCAACTCTTCTAGTAGTGATCAGTCTGTACGTGTTCGTGTCTTGGAGCTGGAATTTGGGGAGTGGAAATACCACTGTTACTTTCACAGTTGGCGTCAAGTCGAATGAGAGTGACCCTCTGACATTCTACTGTGTTGGTCAGACAGCGCGCATCGGAAACGGGCCGAACCGTTACCGAACGAACGCAGTCAAAAGGAATAGGAATTGGGGATGTTATACAGGGTGGTAGTGAATGTATGAGATATTATTGTATCTTTAAAGTTTTTTGTTCCACTTTTGATATACAATTATCAGTTATCGATTGATAGCCTACCAGTTGGGGCACTTTAGGCGTCTGGATTTTCGGAATCAACAATTGTTTTCTGAGTTTGGATTATTATTATTATTTTCCTGGGAAATGGCAAGTTCTTATTCTGCGAGAGAAACACGACTTTCGGAGGAGAGAGGAAACAGCAGCTGAATAATAAGCTTCTAAAGGATGCTGGCAACCTGAAGCTGCCAGACGAATTTCTCCTACATTTCTGAGAAATTTGTTATTTTGCTTTGCGGACTATAAAAGGGTGGAAATATCAACGTTTTTTATTTATTTTAATTTTTTACAGATTTGTTTGTTTTACTGTCCAATGATGTATTGTGGATTTATACTGTTCCTTTCAACCCAACTCATTGTTGTGGCTCCATTGATTCCAAACGGTAAGTGGACTGTTGAAATATCATATTTCCTAACATTAGCTTTATAAACCTTAATTTGGACGATTTGTCATCACGACTCACCTGTTTTTGGCATGTCTACGGAGGTGCATCTAGGCTACAGTACAGGGTTTTACTGGACGCAACTCTCTAGTCTAAATCAGTTGAAAGTCAGCCTATCCAAAACGGTATAGTTTATTGGTTATATATTTATCTAAAGGTGCCATTCCCTCAAGAGGGAATAAATGTTTTTTTTTTTCAAGGTGTTCGTTGTCATTTATTGTTTATGGTGTGGGTAAGTGGGCACTTGTGAGATCATATCTTCATATTTTTTATGTTATTTACTATTCATTCAGTAAATAACAAACATAAAAATGACACAAAGTATCTTATTTCTGACTCATATCTCATGCCTCAATAGTTTTGAAACAAGCACACTGTTAAATGTGTGTTTTCACATCTTCTGTTGGTTAATCATTTCCACTGAGGAATGGCAAAGTGTTATTACTCTTCAGAATGATAAAACATACTTTTTTTAAAGGTTGCCTACACCCTCATCTTGTTTTTTCCTGTTCATTCGAAAATCAGATGTAATTTCTCTCTCATGGATTTCCTTCTTAAATAATTATCTCTGTTTGTTTTAGTTGCAGATACATGTGGAGATAACATTGAGATAACCAATGCAGATTATCTCACCTCGACTGGCTATCCGACCTCATACCCTCCATCACAACAATGTATGTGGGTGATATCAGCCCCAGAACCGGGCCAGAAGATACTCATCAACTTTAACCCTCATTTTGATCTGGAGGACCGAGACTGCAAGTATGTAAAGCGTTATTTTTCTGGATGTAGTGTGAGACTCTGCCACCTATTGGTCAAGATAAGAACTTCTGGGGTCTTAGGTATCAGAGTAGGAGTGCTGATCTAGGATCAGGTCCCCCCCGTCCATGTAATTCTATAAATGTTGGTCTAAAATGCAAAACTGATCCTAAATCAACACTCCTTGCTTGATGCAAACATGGAAGAGGACTAGACTGGAGCATCAACCATTACCTACTTATGGGTATTGTCATTTGAGTGGAAATATAATTGGATCGATGTGTTTTGGTTTGATATTTATTTTGCCCTGTAGTGGTGTCTACAATATTGTTGGGTCAAATATCATTTATATTTTGCCTGGTTGTGGGTTAATGTAGCCTAGTCCCTTTCTTTAGCTGTGCTACCTAGTGCTGATCATTGATTATGAATTGGGTCACACATACAGTATATGACACACACATGCCGACACACATGCACTCGGCACCCCAGGTTAAGTATGCATTCTCACTAAAGCCCATATGTTCACAATCTACCATAAATAACCCCATTTTTATAATGGTCCCTCTGTCTTTTTAAATGCTCCATAAACTATGTGTAAATCACGGGCTCACTGACTGTCTTGCACATGGGGTCCTTGACTACTATTAGATCACGTTTCTCCACCAAGGGACCTATAAAATGTTAGCACTTTTTAGCATTCTGGCAGATACTGGATAGTGTATAGCTTTCTATAAGGAGAGATGTTCTTTGGAACCATGTTTGAAATACCTCCAGTGCCTTGCTAATGCATCTCTAAGTTTTTAGTGTGCAACCTAGCCTGTGTTTTTGACGCCGATGATAGGTTTACTGTAATATTCATTCTGACATATACTACAATACATACTGTATAGGCTCTATAAGGAGAGATGTTGTTCTTTGGAATCATTGGAATACCGCCAGTTTCTCCAGTTAATTAATCACTGTTGACATTGTGTCTCTGAGTTGAAACGCCAACCGAGCCTGTGTTTTTGACTGTGATGATAGGTTTACTGTAATATTTGTTGTGAGGATTTATTTTATAGCTCATAGTCATGGTTTGGCAGAATTGAATGTTGTTTTTGGCTACGAAACAAATCGTTTAAAATGCCAAATGAGGGGCCTTGGCAAAACCACAGATTCCTAAGAGAAAAACATGCACTTTTTCCTCTCATCAACAACATCTGCAAACCAAACTCCAAAACATGATATTTCGATGTCATCTATGAAAGCTATGACTGAAACGGTTAGGGTCATTGTCCTAGAGTGGTGGCACTGTCCCCGGCACACATGTCGGCATGGTTTCAAATCCGGCCCACTGCCCTTTGACTCCACCTCCTCCTACCTTTCCTGTCTTATCTCTACTGTCTTATCTGTTCAATACAAAACATAGAAAATATATATTTGAGATTCTTCAAAGTAGCCACCCTTTGCCTTGATGACAGCTTTGCACACTCATGGCATTATCTCAACCAGCTTCATGAGGTAGTCACCTGGAATGCATTTTAATTAACAGGTGTGCCTTGTTAAATGTTAATTTGTGGAATTTCTTTCCTTCTTAATGCGTTTGAGCCAATTAGTTATGTTGTGACAAGGTAGGGGTGGTATACAGAAGATAGCCCTATTTGGTAAAAGACCAAGTCCATATTATGGCAAGAACAGCTCAAATAAGCAAAGAGAAATGACAGTCCATCATTACGTTAAGAAATGAAGGTCAGTCAATCCGGAACATTTCAAGAACTTTGAACGTTTCTTCAAGTGCAGTCACAAAAACCATCAAGCGCTATGATAAAACTGGCTCTCATGAGGACCGCCACAGGAATGGAAGACCCAGAGTTACCTCTGCTGCAGAGGATACATTCATTAGAGTTAACTGCACCTCAGATTGCAGCCCAAATAAATGCTTCACAGAGTTCAAGTTACCGACACATCTCAACATCAACTGTTCAGAGGAGCCTGCGTGAAATCAGGCAAAGAAACCACTACTAAAGGACACCAATAAGAAGAAGAGACTTGCTTGGGCCAAGAAACATGAGCAATGGACATCAGACCAGTGGAAATCTGTCCTTTGGAGTCCAACTTTGAGATTTTCGGTTCCAACCGCCGTGTCTTTGTGAGATGCAGAGTAGGTGAATGGATGATCTCCGCATGTGTGGTTCCCACCGTGAAGCATGGAGGAGGAGGTGTGATGGTGTGGGGGTGCTTTTCTGGTGACACTGTCTGTGATTTATTTAGAATTCAAGGCACACTTAACCAGCATGGCTACCATAGCATTCTGCAGCGATACGCCATCCTATCTGGTTTGCGCTTAGTGGGACTATCATTTGTTTTTCAACAGGACAATGACCCAAAACCTCCAGGCTGTGTAAGGGCTATTTTACCAAGAAGGAGAGTGATGGAGTGCTGCATCAGATGACCTGGCCTCCACAATCCCCCGACCTCAACCCAATTGAGATGGTTTGGGATGAGTTGGATCGCAGAGTGAAGGAAAAGAAGCCAACAAGTGCTCAGTATATGTGGGAACTCCTTCAAGACTGTTGGAAAAGCATTCCTCATGAAGCTGGTTGAGAGAATGCCAAGAGTGTACAAAACTGTCATCAAGGCAAAGGGTGGCTACTTTGAAGAATCTCAAATATAAAATATGTTTTGATTTGTTTAACACTTTTTTTGGTTAATACATGATTCCAGATGTGTTATTTCATAGTTTTGATGTTTTCACTATTATTCTACAATGTAGAAAATAGTAAAAATAAAGAAAAACCCTTGAATGAGTAGGTGTTTCCAAACTTTTACCATATATATATATATACATAACTAAGGGGTCATCCATTGGAATGTACCGGAAGGGAGGCGAATGTCGGTCTACTTGCATGGGCAGCCACAGTTTGACTTTTTTTATAGCTCGTCCTAATTGAAATGTATTGTCTGAACTGAACTCCTTCCTTATCAGATAGAATGTCCGGGGGAGCTGCAGTGCATGGCTCCATCGCAAATGTCACCCTATTCCCTAGTGCACTACTTTTGACACCTCTGGTCAAAAGTATTGCACTATGTAGGGAATAGGGTGCCATTTGGGATGCAGCGCATGAGGTGCCTGCTATCGCTCCCCTATATTTTAATTCAATTACAGAACCAAATAGAACACACATGTCCCTGTGCCATGGAACATGGCTGTAATTAACTATCCAAACAAAGAATGTTCTGCGATGTCCACTTGTTAAACATGACGGTACTTTTTCCCTTCAAGTATTAGTACAAAACATCAGGCTTTTTTCTTTGAAGGAAGGGTCTGTCTATAATTATGTTTTCAGTGTGATGCCAGAACAACAACCTCTCCCTCAACGTCAGAAAGACAAAGGGAGCTGATCTTGGACGACAGGAAACGGAGGGCAGAGCACGCCCCCATTCACATCGACTGGGCTGTAGTGGAGCGGGTCGAGAGCTTCAAGTTCCTCGGTGTCCACATCACTAAGGACCTATCATGGTCCAAACACACCAACACAGTCGTGAAGAGGGCACGACAATGCCTCTTCCCCCTTTAGGAGGCTGAAAAGATTTGGTTTGGGCCCTCATATCCTCCAAATGTTATAGAGCTGCACCATTGAGATCATCTTGACTGGCTGCATCACCACTTGGTATGGCAACTGCTTGGCATCCGACCATAAGGCGCTACAGAGGGTCCCTGTCATCCAGGATCTCCATACCAGGTGGGGTCAGAGGGAGGCCCAAAAAAGTGTCAAAGACTCCAGACAGCCAAGTCATAGACTGTTCTCTCTGCTACCGCACGGCAAGCGGTACCGGCCAAGTCTGGGACCAAAAGGCTTCTGAACAGCTTCTTCCCCCAAGCCATAAGACTGCTGAACAGTTAATCAAATGTCTACCCTGACTATTTGCATTGACCCCCTTTTTTTTTGCACTGACCCTCTTGCACCGGCTCTATGCACACTCACTGGACTCTACCCACACACTCACACATACTACTCTAACACACAGACACATACACACACACACACACTACATACGCTCAAACACACAAAACACACACACAAGCATATTGACGCCACACACACACTCACACATAGACACTCTTTCACACACTTCACATATGCTGCTGCTACTCTGTTTATTATCTATCCTGATTGCCTAGTCACGTTTACCCCTACCTACATGTACACATGACCTCAATTACCTCAACTACCTCGTACCCCTGCACATTGACTCGGTACCAGTATTCCTTGTATATAGTCTCGTTATTGTTATTTTATTGTGTTACTGTTTCCCTTTGTATTTTTAGCAAATGTTTCATACTTTTTAACTATGCAGAGAGAGAGAGAGAGAGAGAGAGAGAGAGAGAGATCCTCCAAATCCCCAGATATGTGGTGGCAGGACGGATCAACAGTCCCCTGTGTCCGGAAGCATGAAGCTTTCTAATCGCCCAAGTATTTCCCCAGTCACAGGACATCTCAAAGTCATATGAAAAAAAGACACTGCACAACAGAAAGTGCCATGAATCATCACTACTCTCATTTTGGAGAGGGAAAGGAGGTATTTATTAATGCACAGATAGCACTTTGAATCATTATGAATCATACTCTCATTTTGGGAAGGAGAAATGCCACCCATGAAAAGACTACATCAGCATAGCCTACTGTTCAATCAGCCCTTTACATTTAGGTTTGGCCTAGTGTGTCAACCTCCAGACACACCAGTGTGTTTAGCCTCAATGTGTTGGTTTCAATGGAAGCAGAACAGCTCTTTCCAACTGCTTGTGTTACATTTCCTCAGAAGTGGAGGCAAAAACAGGAAGGCCAAGTGTATTATTGGATCCAACATGGTTTGTTTGTGGTTTTGCTTCTAAGAAACTAAATTGGGCCATGAACTCCTACAATAATCTGTTTGTTTGTGCTCGGTTCCATGGGCATGTTCCTTTTATTTCACCACTTTGAAGTTGACAGGAGTCTTAACAGCTAAATGAAGTGACAGACTGATTAT